GATTCATGGGGGACAGGCCCATTATTTCAAAACAGATGGAATCTCCATAATCAGAATCTCTGAAATCCAGTGCTTTCCGCTCCTTGGCCCCTCTACCACCTGCTGGCTCTCCAGGGCAAATGGTTGGCCACTGTGTGAAACAGCATGCTGGACTACATGGACTGACGGTCTGATCCAGCAGGACTCTTCTGATGTTCTCACCTGCCCATTCAGCTCTAAGAGCCACTCAGCTATCCCTCCTCCAATCAGGACCCTGACACTGAACGGCCAGGGAACTTCCCCAACCAGAAACAAGCAACTCCCCAGGAAGGTGAAGGGAGGACTGGTCTCTCCCCATGGCCCATTTATGCTAATCCTATAGATGGAATGCACTAAAGACCTCTTATTCCAATCCTACCAGCTACACAACGGAATAATTCGCCAGCCAGCCCGCCCTCATCCCTCTCAACACATGCAGTCCCTGCTACAGCCTGCTCCCAGCCAGAGGACAGGTGCTTCAGGAACACACACCACATGCTCAGGCCTAGAAACTTCAGTGCCTAATGAGAGGACATGTTCCATTTAAAATGGTGTTTCCTTCTCCAGAATTGCAACTTCACCAGGAGAGGGTGGAATGACATCACCCTGCCCAGAGCCACCCCAACATGCAAAAAGAAATTCTGCACATTGCATATTCCAGACTCTGCACTCACATTTTACGGATCTCCTTGCTGTTATCACCCAAGATCTGGAAGAGCCCATCTAGAATCTCTGGCAGGTAATCCAGAAGATTAATATCAGGGACAGACTCGAGAACCAAGATCTAGCCCGTGAGAAAGGAAGGAAAATTGTACTTGCAAGCTCTGAGTAAGAATTAAAATTAAAGCAAACAGAGGCTGCAATACAGAAACAGGCACTTCAGAATGGAATTATATTAGCAAGCACAGAGGAAGCCAAGTAATACTTTTCTGGTTCAAGCAGACAGGAGTAGCTGCGCTGTGACGAATTTCAAGTCAGAGTGGGCTGATTTGCTTGAAGTAAAGTTTTTCTTACAAAAATTTTAAAAAAGATTTAGAGAAGGAATGTTTAGATATACCAATATTAGGGATATGATGGGGATTTTTTTCTATTGTAACGGGAAGAAAGTGAGGAAAATGTAAAGTGAGTAGATAAACTGAACAGTAAAGTCTGCAGGAGAAGAAGAGTGGATGAATCTATCCGCAGTTTTCTTACTACCAGATATGTGGGATAGCATACATAACAAAGATTGATAATTACGGAACTAAATAATATTGGGAATCTGAGGATTTATTAATTTTGATGCTAACCTATTAATTAGCATTGCATGTTTCATGCTTTTAATAACCACAGATTAAGTGTTAAGCAAAGCCTTCGTTAACCCTAAACCTGGCCTTGACAAAGCTTCTTCAGCTTTAAGAGCCTGCCTTATCTTTCAGCCTTCAATGTTTTAATGATCATACTCTTTCATTATTGCTACCACAAAACCTAATCCTAAACTCTTCACAGTTTCTTGTCATTTTTTAAAAGCTATAACAAACGCACTGTAGTGTACTAACAAATATGGGGTAACCCTAGTTGTCATCACAACAAACAGTTAACCTCCATCCCTCACCTAAATAAGCTTCATAACTGAGAACCACCAAAAGGCACTGACAATAAACAACTTAAAATACTAGGTGCCACAATGAAATTTTGGGGCAATGTGATACCATAATGCCTGCGATTTGTCAAGCCCTGATCCAAATACATACCCAGGAAATGATGAACTGCCGAGCGTACTGGTTGTTGGAGTAGATCCTCTCACGCAGCAGAGGAATAAAGCCCACAAGGTCGAACTTGTTACTTTCAGTCACAATGTCCTACAAAGCCAGAACAACAAGGCAGCATTAAGAGTCTCAGCTCCCCACCCACCAGCACTTCGACACATCAGAAGAGCACCACCAACTTCCCATCGCACACTGAACCCAAGCCACCTGCCTGAACCTCCTAGGTCTTGTGGTGCACAATGGAACAAACTGTCCTTTCACAAACTACTGTCCGGCCTTCCCCAAATGCAGCAGTAATCTCAAGCTGATGCCCCACTGTAATTTACAGCATGTGCTTCTTTGTGCAACAAGGACTGCCTGCACTGGCTTCATATTCCCCATCAAGTTGATATACTACTTCTGAACACCTGTGACGGAACAGCCAGCATTTCTCTCACCTTCTAGCCAAATAAACCCATTCAAAAACATCTTCTCTCCTCATTTGTTTGTTCTGCAATCATACACCCATACAGATTAATTCCAGTCATGACTGCACACACCATAGGCTCAGGCGCACAACTTTGGCTTCAGAAAAAGAACTTCTCTGGTGTCATAAGAATCACAGAGTTGGAAGGTACCTCCAGGGTCATCTAGTCCAACCCCCTGCACAAGGGAAGAAATTCACAAATACCTCCCCCTCCAAGCCTGCAGTGACCGCTGTTCCACACCCAGAAGATGACAAAAAATCCTCCAGGATTCCTTTCTGAACCCAAAGTGGCAATTAGCATTTCCCTGGGTGTGTAAAAAAGGGCCACAAGAACTAAGCACTGAGGCAACCCTTCCTGCCCTCCCTCTCATGATCTGCCTAAGTTCACAGAATCAGCAGTGCTGTCAGATGGCCATCCAGCCTCTGTTTGAAACCTCCAAAGGAGGAGAGCCCACCACCTCCCGAGGAAGCCTGTTCCACTGAGGAACA